GCCAAACCGGACCAGCTCGCACCGAACCAGGATTCGTCGACCCCACAACAGGCCATCTGAGGACCCTGACCCCCCGTCATGGGCAGGGCTCTGACCCCTCAGACCCTGACCCCCCCTCGGGACCCACCAGGGCCTCCGTAAGGGTCTGACACCCTCAGGGCCCCAACCCCACCTCCTCTGGACCCTGAACGCGCCTCACAGGCCCCCCCCCGGCACCTGCGAAACACCTCCCTCGCAAGGGCTGGCTGGGCCGGCTGCCGAACCAGCCCGTCCTGGACTGCGCCGTCCCCCACGGACGGACCGAACCAAAACGGACTGGCGACGAAATCGAACCACGGAACCGAACTGGCCTGCCGTCAGACCGGCCCGACCTGGCCATTTCATGACATCGTGACAAAGCTCAGGCGGAACACCTGGACCGTCCTATCGACAGGCTTGGTAGCCCAGCGAGGAGGAGTAGATATGAGGGAGCAGAACTGGAGAAGGATGACAACCATTGCTGGGTTGTGAAAGTGTACGAGAGAGAACACGGTGGCAACGAGATGATGACTGCAGTGTTTGTGTCCTCCATACATGGTACAGGCACGCGCCGGCACTGGAGCCAAACGGCGGCCGAGCATTCCATTTTGGTCGGGACTGCGCGGGCGATCGAACAGCTTTGGCGGAGAAGAGGGCCGCAGGAAAACAGGAACCAGAACAGTCCAGCCCTCACACAGTCCGACCCCGTCGCTGTCTGACCTGGAGCGCGACGCGACGGGACGCGAACTCACCCTGTTGACGGGTAGCTCACACGTGCTCTTGGGAGCGGCATTGGAGAAATTCAGACGCGTGAGTGACGGTGGCGTGAGTTGCCCAGGCCGCATGTTTGCGTTGGTGACCTCGGGCCGCAGACGTGGCGTCCGAACTCCTGCCCTAAGACTTGGGCGAAGTGATGGCACAAGGGTCCCGCGAAGGGCGGGGTGGGTGTGAACACGCCTGCACCTGGCAGCTTGGGAAAGGCGATGGAGAGAGACCACACGCGATCGTCCGGAGGCTCACCGCAATCGAGGCTTGCGGGCGCCACTGCCACAGCTGGAGGCCACCTCCTCGCTGGGAGTGCCTGGGGCCTCAGCCTCCTCAGCCTCGGCACTGCCCACGGGCGGCGGCTGGCCAGGTTCGCTGGCGGCAGCCGCGCGCAGGGCCGCGCTGGCGTGCTGGCGCTCGATCTTCTCCCCTGCCCTGCGCGTTTGTCTTCTCGCTGGGAAAAAATCGTCGTCGGTCGCGCGCATGGGCTCGTTCTCGTTTTTGTCCTCGCCCTGGCCCTCGCCCCTGTTCGACAAGGCCGCGGCGTGCCTGCGAAAGCCGATGGGCGCCACGACCCCCGTCCTCGCCCAGCACGGGCGCGGCGCTGAAGGACGGTGCACTGTCGGCCTCCAGCTCGAGACACGAGCAGCACTGTCCTCGTCGAACTCCCCTTCTTGGTTCTGGGGCACACATGGGGACCTGGGCAGAGTCCCTGGTGAGATGAACCGCCGGGGAGGAATGCATGGCACGCGTTCATCCTGTGGCGGTGGGAAGTGCGATGGCCGTGGCGACGGCGTGCTGGACTCTTGGGACCCAGTTGGCCGCTCTTTTCATCAAAGGCCGAGTGAGAGTCTCGCTCGCACCCTGGCCACGATCCGAGATTGGCGCGCCTCGGCCCGAAGTAGATAAGAAGGAAGTATCGAGCGGGAGCGTCATTGCTGTTGGGGGCCTGTTTCGGCGCACACCCGAAACGCCTGAGCGTGAGCTTCGACTTCGACGCTGGGAAGCCAAGGAAGCACATCGCAGCTCCGAAGGCCACCTGCCCTGCCCCGCCGCCCCGGCCAAAAGCCAGAGGGAGGGGGTGGTCCGTCAGCGTGGCAGTGCGGGCCGCCGCAACTCTTATTCGGACCACGGGGCGGGCCGACAGAGAAAAGCGGGCCAAGAAAGGAACAGGAACGGGCCGGAGAGCGAGGAGCCGAGGAGCGAGAGGGGGAGAGGGAGGGGGGACGACCGGGAAGGGCAGACCGGGCCGACGGACGGAGGGACGGGGGGACGGGGAGGGGAAGCCAAGCAGGGAGAGAGAGCGAGGCGCCGAGGCGAGAACGCCAGGGCGCCCGTAGGGGGTCAAAAAACAGTATTTGTTTCGTAAGTAAGATTCAACCGCAAACATCTTAAAACTGTTGGCTACTATCTGCTCGCGTGCCACTCAACACGTAGATCCCGAGCCATCGATACCCGCCCTCTTTGTCGTCGATTGTACCTCATTAGGGGTATACCGCTCTTACCTGCAACGTGTATTTAGTGCAGCCCCTAAGGCAGGGGAAGAGAAGACGGATGGAAGGAAGGGACAAGGAGGAGGGAGGAGGATGGAGCACGAGAGAGAGAGTAGCAGGAGGGGGTAGGAGCACGAAAAAACATGGCAGAGCCAGACGGGCAAATCGGGCGGGTAGACCCTAACGGGCGGATCGGGAAGGCCAGCCCAGGCGGCCAGGTCGAG